TCGCAGAAGACAGGAGGAAGACTGGTTTAGAGTCGAACACTTTTAGAATACGGGGATTATACAGGAGAGTGAAATATTAAGAAGCTTACACAAATCGAAAAAAATGGCTAATGCCCTGAGTAAAGGAATTGGTGTAGGATACTAAAAAGAAAGTATCCAGGGGTGTCAGATAGGGTGAATTGGAGATATAAAAATAAATAGATAAAAAGAAGGGTAGGGAGAGAGAAAGAGAACAAAACAAGAAGCACCACCGAGCTTCGGATCTTCTTTGCAATCTCATAACAAATATACAATCACAGCCTTAACACAATCATCCTAAAGGTTCACTGAATAACAAAAAAAGTGATAATAAAATGATTATAGTTTAATATAGCATTGAGGGATAATAGTGAAACTCCTTACCTTGACAATTAATTTAACGACATCTGTATGAAATAGACCTGCAATCTCAGTTCCATTCACCCGAGTGATAAGGTCGCCCTCACGGAGCCCGGCTCGAAATGCAGGGCCGGTGGGGTCAACGTCCACAATGAGATGATGCAGAGTATATGCATTAGAGTTACCGTAAAACACGCGGATAGCACGTATCGTAAAACCATAGCCTCTGGGACCCTTCGAAATTACAAGCGGGGATGGTCCCGAAGGCTGCGACAATGATGATTTAGTAGGCTCTTGCTGACTAGTTAAACTGCTGACGGTCTTCGAGCGAAGAATAACGCCTGATCCACTATCGATGAAGGAGCCATCTATTGAGGTCATTTGAGTCTGGCCAGCCAAAGGCGACGTGATATTGAGTTGTGGAAGAGTGCAGGCTGAAGATAAAACAACTGGGGCCAACGGGGCTAAAGAGAGATGCTGTGCCCCAGGTGGCACCGTAGCCCCGGAAGCCAATTTGGCTTGGCCACCGAAGACGTTAGGAGCGGCTAAACCCTGTTGTTGATTATGTGCTAGAGAAGATTGTTGGTAATGTTGATTTTGCTGATGAAGTGGAATTTGTGAGTTTGACGATGTCGGCATGAGCGACATGGGCGAATGAGAAATGGTTACTTGGGCTGAAGTAAGCGTAGGTGGTGACTGTGTTGATAATAGCTTCTGCGTTTGGAGAATGCGAGAAGTTAGACAGAGTGATGAGTCGGTCAATCCGAGTTGTCCAGAGGCCGTGATCCCCGCCAATGAGAGTGAAGAAGACGAAGCAGAGGCGGGGCCTGAGGCTGAAGCGGATACAGAACGAGAAGCAGAGAGTGGGGAGGAAGAGGCTGAGGTGCTATTGGATGGAGTGAATTGCCTTGAAAGTGTCCGGTGCAAGTGTAGCTGCAGCTGATGCGATGACGACAGCGAGGGTGGTGGAGTGCGTCGATGCTGATGTACGTGTTGGCATAGTTGCTGCTGCTGCTGAAGATAAGCAGAGGGCTGTGGCGACACTAATGGCTGGCCTAAAGACCAAGCCGACTCAACTTCGTGTCTAATTTCCTCAGGAAGCTGCAAGCGGCGTGAGAATATAGGACTACTAGACTCCAGCTCGGATGGTGCTATAGTCATCATCATAGGTGTGGTTGAAGCAGTGGTCGCATCTGCGGCTCCTGCAGCTACTGTCACCATAGTCGTAGCAAAGTCTACGCGGCGGTACTCACCTTCGCTGGAAGGATAGCTAGACTGGTAGGTTAACGAGCCATGTTGAGAAAGTTCGAGACTAGAACCAGAATCAGCACGAGCTAACTCACAAGCTGCCGGAATGATTGGCACAGAACCCATATGGTTATTCACTCCGACAACAGGAGTAGTTGTGACAATAGTATCTAGGGTAGCAGTAGATGTGCTAGTGCCCCTAGTTGGGGTTACCGTATCTTTAAATTCGGTAGCGAGGAGGTTTGGATACACCGTATTGATCGGAGACATGGGACGTGGGGGAGAAGGAAGGGGGCTCTCCATTGGCTCGGGAGAAACCGAGGTGGTGGTTGAAGATTGCTGGCATACAGACTTGGTTGTAGGAGCCATCTCCTGGATCTGATTGCAAGGAAATATACTATCTGCTTCTGGGATGTTTGTAGGATGCAATAAGTCCCATTCTGCAGACGATTCTGTCCTAAAGAGGCGAGTTCCTGAAGATAATGAGTGTGGCGGACAATCCACTTTTTCTTCTTGAACTAATGATTTATGTGATTGGTTATCTTTCAGGAGCACCTTATGAATAATTGTATATAAATAAATGTATGTCTCAATAATAAATATAAAAAGGTTCAAAATAAACATAAACTATTTATGGAATAAATAAGAAAATTTCTCGATTTCGCTTCCCTATGTTGTTAGGTACAATTTTATAAATGCTCTTGTAGCGAGATTAGTTGCTTTATGCATAAAACTCAGTGATAGACTTATTAATATTAATCGAATTTATTCATGTGTAATGATAGATGGAATCATAGACAAAATGAATTAAATTTGAGATTTATTTAGCTTAGTTTGTGATTAAACGAATCTACTTATAAAACCATAAATGAATTGCAATTAGTAAAGAGATTGCTACCTGCTCATTATAAACTTTGAGGTGTTCGGTATCTGTATCATTCAATAAAGTGACTGGTTTAATCTTATTCAAGAGTTGTATCATTGAATTCTCCAAATCTGTGTTTGTCTGGACTGCGTTACCAGTAGTAACAGAAGACGGTTGTTCAAGAGAACCTTGGCAATCAGAGAAGATCTGGACATTATAAGGCCGTGAGTCAATAGATGGTGGTGACGGCGTCGAGTGAAACAACAGAGGTGAAGTTATAGCAGGTGAAGCAAAGTCCAAGGTAGATGTGGCTACTAATGGTAATGGAGTGATTTGAGTAAATAAAGCCGGAGGATGAACTGGAGAACGGGATGGGAAGCTTGAAGCAAGACCGACCTGATGAATTTTATCTGGAACAAAGGGTTGAAATTGCAACTGCCTTATCTGCATTTTATCCGGGGTTTGAGAGATAGACTTTTGTAGATGAAGATCAGCCGATGTAGCTTGTGTTGGAGAAGAGGGTTCTGGTAATACGCATGAATGAGAATGTGTGTAGTTCTGCACAGGTATTGATTGAGGATCCGAAACCAAATTAATAAGAGTAGGGTGACCTTGTTCGGCAGACTGAAAGGCCAAACCGTCGAGTGAGGAGCAAGCCAAATCCTTACGAAGGCTATCACCAAGACGCGATTGCTCAAAAACAAAAGAGAACCGAGGCGAATAAGAGGCAAAAGAATGAAAGACATTCTGAGTCTTAACTTCTTCTTCCTCATCTTCCCCAACCTCCTCTCCAATTGCATCGTCTTCTGCATTATCATCAAGCTCATGAGTGTCATTTGCCACACTAGACCAATCTTCACTGGACCGTCTTTCCAAATGCCCTTTTCTATAAAATGCCTCTATATCCGGTGTATACTCTACCCCGAGATCTAGGTCAACATCAGATGTTTGTGGCTTGGCCATTAATCTCATACTCCTCTCTTCCTCGATTCTATCGATCATAGACGCTGTATGCTGGCTTGAAAATCCGACCTGATCATTAGATGGATCGTTAAAGCCCAGGTCTTTGAGACAGGTGGCTTGTGCAAGCTGTCTAGCCTGCCGAGCCACAGACCGAGCCGTCGGTGAGTCAGCCGTTAATGTAGCTCCTGGATCTAGTTCTGCCGAAGTGCGCACCGGAGGCAGGGTACAAGATGCGGAGCTATGGGAAACCAAAGTCATAGACGCAGGCGGGCCAACCATACCCTCGCAATCTTCGTTTGTACCACCAAATGTGGAAGAAATGGCAGAATAGACAGGTGCCGAACTCATATCACCATCAGCATCCAATTGACGGATTGAAGCAGAATTTGCCGTAAGCCTTTCAGATAAAGCCTCTGAATCAGATACTCCAGAAGCATCCGATTGCCAATCGGTCCGCCGACAACATGAGGAAACTTGAATACTACTAGCACGGAGCAGGCGGTTACAGAAAGGAGTATCGCCCATACTAAGACATCTGCGTCTTCGTTGAATATCGACAGACTCAGAAGCACTTGAAGCCAGCTGGCCACCATTTACTTCACCCGCTTGCTGATGGCGTTGAATTTGCTGGTGCTGATGCTGGCGGCGCTGCTGTTGCTGCAGGCGGCGTTCAACAGTGACCATCTGCTTGGTCCGTCCGACGAGACCGGTAACAGCACGGCGCTCCCGACCGAGGCGGCTAGCAGCAGGGCGGCGTCTGCCAGGCTGAGAGGACGCCGCTGCTGCAACTGACGCAGCAGCAGCTGCGGCAGCGGCAGCTACTGTGGCTGCAGAAGGTGAAGATGGCGATGACGTAAATGAAAGTGCGCCTGTAGAGCCGCGGTGTAGGGGGCGGTAATTACCTAGACCAATTGCACTTCCGAAGCCAACTGAACTATTAGCATCCAGCCCATGATCAGATAATCTGGGCTCTTCAAGTTGTGTTTTTAGGTTATCACCAGAAGGGCTAGACGTAGAGATGGGGCCTGAGCCAGAATACCTGTCGGGCTGTGATGTAAATGAGACGCTATTGGAAGAAGCGCGTAAAGACCTCGATAATACTGTAGAAGGTGGACATGAAGCAGGTGACTGGTTTCGATAATAGATGAAAAAAATATAAAGTATGAGAAAAGTGTAAGTGGCCATAATGCGTATAAATTCACGAATAAATCAAAAAATTTAAAACAAAAAAATGAAATGAGAGAAGAGGAAGATGAGGACTAAAGGTGAGATACAGTGAACTATTACAAATTCGAGAAGGAAAATAAAGGTAGGTGGGCCCTTATTTTTTCTGTCATGAGAGTATTGTAGTCGGCTTTGAAACCAACACTTTAAGCATATACTCGAAGGTAAACAGCCTTTTTTAAGCCATGAAAGCATGATAGCTCAGCGCAACAAAGATAATCGAATAGTTTTGCCCTGAATTCCAAACAAACAACATGTCAAAAGTAAGAAGATTTACCAGTGAGATAAAAAAAAGTTTTTAATAAAGCTACAAATAATGTATTCATGCATACCAAGAGTAAGAATTGTATCCATAGCGTTGAAAATAATGCAACCTAGCGCTGATAATAATGATGAATAGAATGTGTTAAAAAAACACAAATAAAAATAAAAATGAAGCTCCTTCCAATAGGTTGCTTTCAAAAAAGAGAATTAATGAATTAAAATATGCGAAATTCTAAATTCTATTTTGGCTTTGCAATAGTTATTGCATTATAGATAATCCACTCTTGTCATCTTATGTGTTGCTGAGCGAAAGTCACAATGCACTTATTAAATATATATACTCAATTGCATTTGAGGTAATGAATAATTGATAGTAGAATTTTGCTGCAATGATATGAGTAGAGCTGACATTTCTATTGAATTTTACATAGCCTTGCTCTCCCAAAAGTGTCGTTTCACCTCGCCTATGCCTTATCAACACCACCAGGAGTCGAACCGTGACAGTGCAGCATGTGATAAGGCCTGGCCCTGTACGCAAAGGCACTTGTGGCAATGTAGCTGAGTGGTTAACGTGTTAAGCTTACATGCTGCACTGTCACGGTTCGACTCCCGCTTGGCGTGTTGATAAGACCTAGACGAGGTGGAAACTGCAGTTCACCCTGGATAAGAACATCTTTTAGGAAAGCAAGGCTATGTGAAATTCAATGGTAACGTCAGCTCTACTCATATCATTGTGGGAAAATTCGACGAGTCATTCATTACCTTGATCAAAATAGAATGAATACATTTCATATAACTGATTTACTAGTTACATCGAAACTCTGCTTATATACGAACGATTATAAAATTAAAAAACGTTTTTTTTTCCATTTAGACAAAACGAAGGAATATTTTCCTCTTAAAAATATTGCAAAAACAATAAAGACCAAACACGTACATATTTAACAAAAATAATGAATAAAAATGGCTTAATCGAAGGTATAAAGACCAAGATAATGTGGCCTTTTGTGTGGTCGCAGTCTGCTTTCGTTGTATCGAGGTTGTTTGACCTTGTTTTCGCAACTTGTTCATATTCGTTGGATGACTTAAATGAACGCATCTAGTCCGGAGTCCATTGTATACATGATCATTTCCAAAGTCGGACCCTGGACATGGTACATGCCCAAACGTTTCGCCGGCATCGTCAGTAAGTCTCGCCAGTCTCAGCAACACACAACAACTCGTCAAAGAGACAAGTGAAGATGATTCTTTGACCAAACGTGTGCTAAACAGTTGTGGTATCCCCCTTCTGCCCTGCGCTATTCACATATCCTAAATCCTATCACGCCTTCACTGTAACAATTTTTACCGTGTTTATTAATATGTAGTATGATGTGCTCCTTCGAGCGGCATTCATGAAACCCTTCACACTCCACGCTGTCCCGTTCACCCTCTTCACCCTTGTACTGGGAATGTTGATAAGAGTCTGCCATATTGTTACGCAGTCCTCCTTCTCTAGGTCTTATCACAATCTCTCTTACCCCGTAAAATCCGTCTGCTACATTCCTGGTTCACATATTTCGCTCCACCCCTGCAACCCATCTTTGCTAATCGAGGCGTTATTCGCCCTCCCCTGCGTCTGGGTGATTAATTCGAGGCTAAAGCTTCTGAGTAAGTCTTATTGTCACGCCTTTACTACATGAATCACGTCTCTGGTAAAACCTACTGTCAGCCAACTAGTTCCACCCTCCGCCACGTCTATCCTATTTCTATCCCTAATACCAAGTCTATGACTTCCAATGCCCTAGTCTAGTGGGCCAACCCACAAATGTTGTGGTACTGCTTGCTTTGACTAAGTTCAATATTGAACCACAACGTCTGTGGGTTGGCATATAAGAGACTAGGTCATGGAAAGTCATGGACAGAGAGAAAGAGGAAAGACCCAATGGAGACTAAGGCTATTTGACTAACAATAGACGTGTTGATCATAGGCGTGATCCTTAAATCACGACTATTGTTAGCTAACTGGCTCTAGTTTCCACTGCGTCTAACCTCTTCCTATCTATAATACCACGTATATGACCTCTTAGATACAGGATAGACGCGGCGGGGACTGGAGCTAGTTGGCTGATTGTAGGTTATACCAGAGACGTTGTCCATGTAACAAAGGCCTGACCATGCGACTTACTCAGAGGCTTTAGCCTCGAATTAGTCATCCAGACGCATGAGTGGAGAATAATACCTCGAGTAGCACAGGTGGGGTGGCAGGGGTGGAGTGAAATACGTGAACCAGGGATATAGCAGACGGATTCTACAAGGCAAGAGGGAGACAATGATAGGACCCAGGGAAGGACTACGTAGCAATATGACAGACTCTGGTCAACATTTCCAACACAAGGGTAAAGGGGGTGAGAACCACAGCGTGGAGTGTGAAGGGTTTTCATGAATTTTACATCACACTACATTTAAATAAGCACGGTAAAAATTGTAACAATAAGCGTGATAGGAGGATATAGGAAATGTTAATAGCCCAGGACAGAAGGGGAGATACCACAACTGTTTAGCACACGTTTGGTCAAAAGATCGGT